TGAATACTGTGTGCCGTTCTATTTTCTTCATCTCAAAAAGATATATTATGATTGGAAAAGGTGCAGAGAAGACAACAAAAATTATTATGGGTATTGAACAATTCCATATGAGGAGAGATTAAGAAAGACCGGGACAGTTGAATATGGAAAAGAGATGACTAAGGGGGATATGAGAGTTCTATAAAATCATTAATGATGTGGAGAAAGTGACTAGAAATGTGTTATTTATCTCTTCCCATAATACAAGAACTGAAGTCACCTACTGAAATTAATAGGCAGTAGGTTTAAAAAAACCAAAAGGAAGTTCTCCTTCACATAAGAGAGAGTCAATCTGTGGAAGTCCTTGCCAGGGAATGTGAAGACCAAAATTATAATGGGGTTAAAAAAGAATTAGATAAATTCACAGAGGACATAAGATTATCCAGAATGTAATCCCATGTTCTGGGTATCCGTTGCCTCTGATTACCAGAAGCTAGAAGTGGACAACAGAAGCAGATGACTCCATGTTAGCACCCGGCATTGGTCACTGTCGGAAGACAGGATATTGGGCTAGATAGGCCATTGGTCTGATGCAGTATGACCATTCTTCAGTTCTAGTTGAGGGTCTGTTCCATGGTATTTATCTTGCTTCATCATCCAACCTGCCACCTTTTTTGTTTTTCTGTGGATGTTGAGATTCCCAGAAGTCTGAAAGGTGAAAACAACAGTGCAACTTAGATAAAAGTGATGAGATATGCTTCAAGAATTCATCTTTTCATCTTTATTGAGGACTTTTGCTGTAAGACAGTCTGAAGTCTTGGTGTTCTCTATATTCTTCAATCTTATGGACAGGATAAATAGCTCAGAAGGCTGAAGCAAAACCTGCTTCCATCTGCTACTAGTCAGAATATTGTGTCCTATCCTATGAGAAATTTATTTAACTGGGAATGCTAATCCACACTTGTATACTTTCCAGCTTGATGATTACTGCTCACTTTGCAACATATTTAATTTAGAAATGAAACTACACCACCTGAGAACTCAGACTAGTTTCCAGTTGAATACAGTTCAAGGTTTTCATCTTTCATGGAACTGTCCTACTTGAAAAATCACCTTCCCATTGATGACCATGTTATCTTTCAACAATTATATAGAACAACGTATTTGTCAACTAAGAATAGGCAGAATTTTTACAGGAGCTAAACCTATGCTATTGAACTTTCTCCCTTTAGAAAAACAGGACCATAGACATCACCACTTTCTGAACTCAATGTAAAATTAATTATCTTTGATTTTGTTTCCCTCAATTTTTGTGCAAATTTTATGCAATTTTTATGCATACACACACATAGCAGGGGTGGGGATTCTAAAGCCCAGGAGCTGGATGCGTCCTGGCTTACCTGGATCCACGAGGGTTGTTTTTTGCTTCTCACTTGTGTGTGGCCCCCAATTGATTTTTCTGTGAGTGAGCAGCCCCCCAACCCAAAAAAAGATTCCTCTCCCCTGTTTTATAGAGTTATTTGCCCTATAGCCTGGAAAAGGAGAGAGAAACCATTTCTGATTTTGAAGACTTGTGAGGTGCTCTGATACGGTGGCTAAGAGAGCAGAAAAAGCATGTAGAAAAGTGATGGGGAAAACACTAGTCTGTTGTGCAATGCTAAACATTAGCAAACATTAATGCTGCTAATTATTCAGCTGAGAACTTATTTTCGCAGAAGGTAAAGAGCTAATGAGACAACTGCTGAATTACTGAATGCTGTCCTTTAAGGCATAATATTAAATTGTGGAAATAGCTAATGTGTAATAAATGAAATGAATGTGTTCTTAGGATTTTATGATTTACAAACTTAATACAAAGTAGCTTCTTTAAAAAGTATGAAACAAAATACAGGACTATGTAGCACTTAAAAGACTAACAAGATGGTTTATTAGATGATGAGCTTTCGTGGGCCAGACCCACTTCCTCAGATCAAATAGTGGAAGAAAATAGTCACAGCCATATATACCAAAGGATACAATTAAAAAAATGAACACATATGAAAAGGAATTGTAGCAGCACTCTGACTTCTAGTGAGATGAGTTCACATCCTAAAGAGACTTCAGATCAGCAGGGTAGCTGATTTCAGGGTAAAGAGAAAGAGAAAATGTGCAAATGTGGGGAAGCACACCACAAGCTCCAGCTTGCAAACCACACAAACAGAGATTGCAGCCTGTCCAGCTCACAGGATCTCACCTACTACAACATGCTGTAAGTTGTGAAGAAATGTGTTTAAGGGCAAGCAGGTTTTTTCTTTGTGATCCTGTCTAATGTCTGTTTTGTGGGCATTGATTCTTTGGCGAAGTGTCTGAGACGTTTGTCCAATGTACATAGCAGACGACACTTCGCCAAAGAATCAATGCCCACAAAACAGACGTTAGACAGGATCACAAAGAAAAAACAGTTGCTTGCCATTTCAACCAGAAAGGACACTGTCTCAATGACCTACTCACCTGCATCCTACTTCAGAAGACATTCAAATCTGTACTTGAAAGGGAATCTTCTGAACTGGCATTCATGCTAAAATTCGACACTCTCCGCGGGGGGCTGAACAAAGACCCCAGCTATCTTACCCATTACAAAGATATCTTCCCCAATTATCACCTCTAATACTATTAACTCACAGACATCTACCCTTCCCCACCTCTAATATCATTAACTCACAGGCATTCACCTTCCTTCCTCCCTCCTCCCCCCGCATCCCCCTTCTGTTCTGAAATGTGATTTGTCCTTTTCATATGTGTTCATTTTTTTTAATTGTATCCTTTGGTATATATGGCTGTGACAATTTTCTTCCACTATTTGATCTGAGGAAGTGGGTCTGGCCCACGAAAGCTCATAATCTAATAAACCATCTTGTTAGTCTTTAAAGTGCTACATAGTCCTGCATTTTGTTTCAGCTACACCAGACTAACACGGCTACATTTCTATCACTTTAAAAAGTATGGCATCGCTAAAACTTTCTTGAATGTCATTCAGCTCACTTACTTGAGATGCCTGAAGTAACTGTCCACTTTTAGAGGTGATATATAGGCTTGAGATATATACAGCCCTTCAGTATACAAAATTCAGAAGGAAATAGCTGTAAGGGTTGTTTTCCATAAGTGTAAAGTGCATCTGCATGGGCATAAACACCAATTTAAGACTTGTGATGGAATTAATGCTTCAGGGACTGAGCCTGTCTGGTGCGGAGTCCCCTTAATTCTTATTAGCATCAAATAAGGGATTGAACTTATGAAGTGATTATCTGTCAAGTTAGAATGTGTTTTGTGTAAAGATGGTTCTTGCAGTTCTGAACTTTTTCCTTTCTCTTCTCAGCGTTCTGCATCTCCACTACTAGTTTCAGAAGGTTTATGACCACTTAAGCCTCTAATGTTGGGAACCTTTTAGAAATCAAACCTATTTTCCTCTTCATTTCTGTTAAAGTTTAATCATGATTGCTTGTCAAATATAATTTGTAAACAGTTATTGACCATTGTAAATAGCTCTGAGCTGGAAAATAGAGAAAATTTATAATATTGCAGGAGAAATTCTGTAGCTGCACAAGTATGCCTCGGAGCGATCGACAAAGGCTTTCCTTGTCGACCGCAGCATGTCTAGACTGCCCCGCTGTGCCGATCAGCTGATCGTTGGCACAGCGGGGTGGCCATTTTGATGTAAATGAAGTGGCGATTATTTAAATCGCGGCTTCATTTTGCTATGTCTTGTAAACTCATCTATATGGCTCCACCGACGGAGCCATGTAGTCTAGACATACCCTTACTGTGTACCTGCAGGGTCTAAATGGACCAATGAATGTGAAATATGCTGTGCTTTTTAGAAATTACATAGCTTTAGTACACTATCTGAGACAAGCCCTAATATACCTGCTCAGTTCCTAGCCAGAACAGAAGTTAGAATTTTTAAAAAGCTGAAGATAATTTCTTCTTTAAATATTAATTTTATTTTGATGGTACCTAACGGCCATCTGGGAACAAGGCCCTATTGTGGTATCATTGTATAAACCACAGGTACTATAAAGTCCTTGTTTTGAAGAGCATACATAGCCTAATTAGATAAGTCAAAGGGTAAGGGAAAGGGATTCAATATGTAAACCATGAATTTTTTTTTAAAGTCACGTTACTCCTGTAACGTTTTCAAAAATTCTTTGGTTAGAGTCTTGATTGTGAGGGATTAGTTAATGGAAAGGCACAGAGAGAGAGAAATGGGGAGTAGAAAGGGAAGGTGGCTGAGCACAAAAGGCAGGTGCAAATGGAGCTGAAATACTGGAAGAGAAGGTTGGAGCAACAGCTCAAGAGAGAGACTGTACAGAATAAAACCAGTAGAAAGCAGCCTGATGACATTCTCCATGTCCAGGTGTTCCAGCTGCTTCTGTGCCAGCTCGTGCTGGCAAGGGAGTTTTTTGGCCTGGCATTTTCCTAGAATTGTTCATTTGCATTCTCATTTCACGTGGTTGGGGTTGGGCTAGGTGCCATGTAGGTCTGTCTTTGTTGCACAGTGTAGAGGACCACCTCTTCATAGTTCTGCCAGAGCAGAAGTTCAGCTTTCTGTGTCTGCTGTCCATCATTGAATGATGATACCACTATCTGTCTCTGGATGACCTAAAGATAGTACAGTCACTCAACACAGTTAACTGCTGCAGGCAGTAGAATAGAACCCAGAGTTCAGGTCCTGGGAAGTATGGCAAAAGGAAATAAAGGGAAAAATCACTTATAATATAAAAAATAGTTTGAGATTTTAATTTTTGATTATAGTGCTTAATATGGTTGATAAATATTGGAATAAATATCTGGCTTTAAATGTATCCACAATATTCCCTTTGGGTTGACTAGGAGCCTCCTGAAAATCCCCAGTGGCAAGGCTGACCCGAAATGTTCCCACTATTTAGTCCTTTTGATCTAGAGGTGCATTTTTCCTTTATTACTTTACAGGTACATTTTAAAGCATAATTTTAAAGTTAATTTTACAAATTATTTGTTACTAGGCAAGCTTTGGACCAGAAGTATGAAGGTTGCTTACAATATACTGCATAAATTAGGCACAAAACAAGAACCAATGGTGCGACCTGGAGACAGGGTAAGTATTTCAATGGTTTATTAATAGACTTGAAATACAGTCTGACAAGATGAGATTGGGGATTTAGTGTGGCATAGTTAAGTGATAACATTTAAATGTGGAGACAGTCTTGCTCTCTTTTTTTAATCTATGGAAAAAGGACTGACCATTTGCTTTGGTACGGAGTATTTACTTGAGTTTGTTGCAAAATCAGCAGTAAGCTTTCCCATGAAAAATATGTTTTATTTTTTGATAAAGGGAAAAATAAATCTGTTTAGCAAAGATTTCTGTGTATAAAGAGCATGGGGGATACTCAACTCTGTTGGTGAAGCTATTTAATATAATTACTTTGTGACTGGTGATACGGTGGAAGCAGAAGAGGCATTGCTTATGATGAGATGAAAATGAGCATCCTTTGGCGGAACTGGACTTATGCATTATTCTTAGGCTATTTTAAGCCTGAGCTTGCTTCCTGAGGCATCAGTCAGAGGTTTGAATGTGAGGCTGGGATCAGGCACTTCCAGGATATAATGCTGCCTCTGGGCATGGAATTGGGCAAGTCTTTTAACCTCTTCTGTCCCTCTATAACTGAGACGCTGCCACGGCTTATTCAATGCTTACAAACGGCCCTACCCCCTCACCTCTACTTGACAAATTGCTTGACAAATTGTTGAGCTGGTTTGGATAGGAACTCAGTTGAATTCCCACTGTAGCTAAGCATGCTCAAGCTTTATATGAATGGTTAGCTAAGCTGATCTGTCCATGTCTGTTACACGATCCTCCAGTGTTGTCTTCAAAGTTGAGAAGAGAGCAGAGTGGGCTTTTATATTTTGACTCTGTGTCAAACATGGTTCCCATTTGTCTCTGTAAAATGAAGGTAGTAATACTAGCCATACTTTCTCACAGGGTTTTGAAGGCTAATCCTTCTATGAAGATGTAAAGTTTCAAAATCCTTTCCTTTCTGATGTACTAAATAAGTCATTGGATTCCTCCAAAAACCCTTTATCCATTAAAGCCTACCAGTACTGACCTCTGCAAATTTAACTACTGGTGGGTGTGTCTGCACAGCATCTAGACATCCTCAGGGCCTCATCCTCTTTTACTTTATATAAGAAATGTATATGTTGCACACTGTATGTTCCTCACGACAGGAACTGGTTAAGTTTGACCTTTGTGAAAAGAGCACAGGTAAGATGCCCCAAAGAGAATTTTCATAAATCAAGCATTGCAACATATTTCCTAAGTTTCTTTTTGAAATAAAGCAAAGAAGCAAAGAATTAAACTCTTTTAAAACTGATATTTAAACAAAATCACTTAGCAAATACCAATCTACAATTTTTTTCTCTCCTTGATTTACAACAGAGTCTGAGCAATGGCAGGATGAACAAATTGTTTGTTCTCAGTAAATTTACTTGCACAAAGAATTCCGTGAAAGGAAGACCGTTCAGATACCCTATATCCATGTATCTTGTATTGACTACCCCTCTCTTTGTGGTAAATTACTGCACAAAGATTTAAGCTTTCTTAACCTTAAAAAGGACTTATTGATGATTCAGAACTAAAGTTGAACTTGTACCAAAAGTCTTCCCTTCATTCGAATAAATTGAAGTTCTTATTCTCAAATAACTCTGTAAATTACAGTGAAGTTAAATATTTATGGCTGAGTGATGAAAACATATACTTTGCATTTTATAATATCTTGCCCAATATCTTTTGTAATTTAAGGTAACTACAATTTGAAGACATGAGACATGCCTGTGCTCCTCATGCTCTAAGCAGATATTCTCTCCAATTTCCCCACTAAAGCACCATAAAAGCTTTTTAGCTACTTTGAAAATAATAATTCAAATCATGTGACAGTAGATGAGTATTTTGTAGCACTAAATTAAATACAGGAGGACATTTGCAATCTTTTCTAAATGAAAGTGAAAATGTTTCCTTCTGGTCATTATATGAAATACTCTGAAATGCCTTTTCTCTTTCTTAAAATCTGACCTCATGTCACCCTTATCTAACAACTGAACAAAAATGAAGCATGAATCTATAAAATATCTACTCTCTCTCCACATTTCCCTCTTATTAGATATACTTTTGTATAATTTGTTTGCCTCCTTTTTCATTTTTACAAGTTGTTTAGTGTCTGGGATATGCAAAAGCACTTAAATGCCCTAACTTCCTTAAGTGTCTTCAAAAATGCCAGCCAGAATCTAGTCTGACATATGTGCTAGCTGTCCCAGCTAACCTACTGACCTACTATCAGGAACTGGACACCACTTTACTGGAATAAAAAAAAAACAAAATCCTAGATCTAAACTACTTTAAAAAAAAAGAGTTGCATCTGTCTTCTACGCCTTCATGAGCAGGCTGTCTCTTTGGATCATGAGTTCTTTAGGACAAGGTTTGTTTTATGAGGCTTATGGTTGCCAGGTGTCCAGTATTTGTGAGCTCTGTCCGGTAAAAAAAAATCAGAAAATACTGGATATGTGCAATGTCCGGTATTTTCTGATTTTTCTGGCTGCGCACTGGACTGAAGCCTGGCGTGGGCGGGGGGAGTGGCTGGGAGTCTCAGCTGGGAGGCGGGGCCGTGATTGCCGCCAGGAGCCCTACTCCCTGCCGGCCAATTTGCTCCCCCTCTCCCTGGCCAGCTGGTTCTCCCTCACTTCCCCTCCCAATCTCCCCCGGCCAGTGTCGCTGCACCTCTTCCCACCCCCGCCAGCTCTGCTTCCCACTGACCTGTTCCTCTTCCTGATCTCCCCGGCTAGTGCTGCTGCACCCCCTCCCGCTCCCCCCAGCTCTGCTTCCTGCCCCCCCTTCTTCCCGGCCAGCCCTGCTCCCCTCTCAGCCAGTCCCCACCCCCATGAAGTGTGTCCAGTATTTTTGTAAGACTACCTGGTAACCCTACTCTAGGCATAAGTGAAATATGTGTCTGTGTAAGGTACCATGTGTGCCCAATGCATTCATGTGTGCTTAAATGGCCATGGCTGCAGCAGGGTGTCTTCCTGTCCCCTCCCCCATGTGCTCAAGACCAGCAAGAGCTGGCTGTGGGCTCCCTGCTTTCGGACTGACAGCAGAGAGGAGACCCCAGCCTCTGCCCGTTAGCTGTTTCCAGCCCTTCCCCTCCCCCCTTCCTGGCCAGCACCACTCCCTTCCTGGGCGGTCCTCCCCCCGCCCATGAAGCATGTCAGGGTTTTTGTTTTTTCGTTAAATGACTACCCGGTAACCCCTATCAGTGATCCAGGTTCTTGGAGTCTTTTTTTTCCCCTCCTGCTCAACAACTTTGGTGTCCCCCCCCTCTTTTTTTTTCCTTCAACAAAATTTTTACCTGGTGGTTTTTTTTGGGGGGGAGGGTGTTCAGTATTTTTGTTTCAGCCATCTGGCAACCCTATTCTCCATAGGGCAGCTGGGTTTTGGTCTCCCAGACGGGACGAGCAGCTCTGCTCTATAGGAAGGCCGCAAAGTAGAGCTGCTAGTCCTCCAGATCACAAAGAGCCAGTTGAGGAGGTTCAGGCACTTGATAAGGGAGCTTGTTGGGACATTTCCTTTGAAACCCTACCAAGCAAGTCCCACTGGGAGGAAGCTCGGAGGCTGGCTCAGGACATAGTAGAGGGATTAAATTCCCTGGTTGGTCTGGAATGCTGGGGAATCCCCAGAAGGACTTGGCACATATTGTAGAAAAAAAGAAGGCCTGACCCTCCCCAGTCTCTCTACTTTTTAGCCAGAAGAATATGTAAGCTTTGTGCCAATTCTTTTTTTCAAAACAGAAGAGCAAAGGATCTATATCAAGTAATTCCCCCCTCCCACCACAAAGATGAAGGACCTTCTATATCCTCCTGCAGATATTACTTCAATGTTCATCTTACATTGAATAAGAACTTCAAAATGAAATTGATTAGTCTGCTTGTTAGTTGTTTAAGATTGAAAAATTAAAATATGGGGAAGAATGTAAATAATGAAGTAAATTAATTGAAAAATATTTTATCCAAATAAAGTAAGAAAAGCTGATGTTTCTAATATTTAAGAAACAAGTACCGTTAACCTAAGAATTACTTTCTCTTTTAGTATAAAGTAGTTTCAAAACAAATCTAAACTCTTCTGTTTATATTTTGTGCACATGTAAGTAAATATGAAATTTCTCAGTGTATCTATAATCTTAACGTGAATTGTTTTAGATGCCCTGTATTTGTTTTTTAAAAGTCACCCATTAGCCTGGCATAAAAATAAACAAGTCACATGTTAGATAAGGTTCTCTGAACTTATTTATAAGCTTGAGTTCTTCTCTACTGTGCCTGAAGGGTCTCTGCTACTTGCAGTCCTGGAACATCAGTCTCTTAGAAACCATAAAAAAAAACTTCTCATGACATTTTAAATATGTTTAGAGGAGTAGTTGCTTTATAAGTGAAAAAGTAGAAGTCCTTAGTATGAAAGACTATATCATAAGGCTGGCAGATACCAGAGCTGCTAAACTTAGGTTTCATTAAAACGTGTCATTACAACATCTTAAAATGAACCAGTTAATTACCATAGGAACCAAGTTCAAGATTCTTCACAGAAGCTATATGTGAATGATACTTTACCCGGCTAAGATGGGATGTGATATAGTTACCAACAGTACTGCACAATTGTTTAGGACAGGAAAGTGAAGAAAAACACATCTGACTGAATGGAAATACAATATAGGCAGACTCTCTAATTATTTAAGCTACATGTTAACCAGTAGGCTGTGTTAATGTCCCTACTCTTGCCAAAAAGAGCAGTGTGATCTATAATAAGTTATTAGCTTCTCTATTTGACAGTTTATTCTCTCTCTCCTCTTGGTGGGGATAAAAAGATAGTGTCTGCTGTTCAGTGTTCATAGCAACATGCTGGAAAACTTTGTATTTCTCTGAAAAAAGAGGGGAGCAGTGGCGCATATAGGTGATTCCACATGACACCTGATCTTTCTTTGGTGTTCTTTTGTTTCAGTAAGCCTTGGCCCTAAACTTGCTTAGTTTGAAGATTGAGTAGAGTGGGAACTTCAGGATGCCATCTTCACTGTAGCACTTACTGTTCCTGCACTGGAATGATAGAGCATAGGCAAAACTTCCTCATCAAATTGTAGGAGACTTTAATTGTTGCATGCGGACAAAACATAAGGCAGGAAATAGTTGGCACAATATGTTCAGTGGTACAGCATTGTGCAATGGTACAATGTGTTGAATTACTCCTAGATGAATATTTTAAGTAACCTAATTTAATTTTTTTAAGATGTAAAACTTTCTATCTAAAACTACTACTACAAAGTTGAACCTCAGCCTAGTCATTGGTAAACCAAAGGTCAGATGAAACTTGCTAGCAATTAAAAATGCAGTGTGTAAGTAAATAGCAGTGCATATGTGGAGATGCTCACAAAAAGGAAAATATATATACAACAGAGAGAAAACTCATTCTTACTTGTCATTCAGCTCTTAAATGTTCATTTGTTGAACCTGTATATAAAGGGAAAATAGTTATAGGCAGAACTCAGTAAAGTGAATTGTATCAGAGCTGTTTTTAAATGTAAATAGCTTTTCAAAAGGAGTGTGGAAGCTATTTTTAATGTACACTGAAATCTGTAATAAATTTTAGTATGTGTTTCTCTGTTTCAGGTAGCACTTGTATTTCCAAACAATGATCCTGCTGCTTTTATGGTGGCATTTTATGGCTGCCTACTGGCAGAAGTTGTCCCTGTCCCTATTGAAGTGCCACTTACAAGAAAGGTAAGGAGCTAAATTTCTCCTTCACTGTACATTTTAAAAGTTTTATGCCAGAATTGAATCACAACAGAGCACAGATTTGTTTAATTTTTCTTAATGGTGAGCTTTTCTGTGTCTAATTACCGAAAGGATAATACTGCACTAAAGGTTATATATAACTTCTCCGTTTTAGTAAAAAAACCCACAAGCTACCGTGTGTAGTTACTTCTAATTGCAAAAAGATATACGCTTGTCTACACTAAGAAAAATTTGCAAAAAGTTAGTGTCACAAGGTGGCTGTTTTCTGCGGATCAACTGAGTCCAGTTCCCCTGGACTGGAGCTGGTGAGCCTCACCAAGCTAAGTAAAGAGGGCTAGGCTACATCTGGGTCTGTAAAGGGCTGCTAGCAGGCAGCTGGGAAGAAGAAAGACAGTGAGAGGCTGATCCATGGGAAGCCAAGCTGGAGTGGAGCTAACTCCTATGGTGGCTTCCTGGAGCCAGGGGGCCAAAGGCTCAAGGAAGCAACCCTGCAGCTGCAGATGTAAGAGGGGAGGAGAGCTGGCACAGGGTAGGAAACTCCAAGCTGTTGGAGCACCAAAAACCCTGGGAGGGATGGCTCTGAATACTGGCACAGTGTATTAAAGTTTGTGCGTTGTTAATTTTTGTTATAAAAATAAACCTTTTTGACAGCTACTGAGTCTGCAAACCCTCCAATGTTTGCCATGATTTCTTTAGGCACTCTTTTAACTAACCAAGTTTTAATGCAGGTCTGATCGGCACAGTACTTAGTGTCAGTGTCAGCCATTGTCTTACCCTGGTAAGTCTTCCCCGTGTTGATGGAATTGAACCAGTCTCAACGATTGCACTGCATTTCACTTGTGTAGACCAAGCCCTAAAGCATTTGTTCGTGATCGACTCTCAGTGCTGCTAATACTGAAAATTTATCATCCAGTCTTGGTTCCATTTAATTGGCTGTTGGGTTCCTAGTTCACCGGCATTACAATCTTAGCAAAAAGGCCTATAACAGAATGGACACAGAGACTGATCTGTCCTTTCCCTGTTTGAGATGGTACCAACATATTGGGAACTCAAAGCACCATTGGTGGATAGAGTAGGAAAACTTATGCCAGGACTGTTTACGCTGTATCTTCGCTGAAGACCTCTGTCATCAGGGCTGTTCTTATGGAAGGGTTTACCAGTTCCTTTAAACAACAAAGCAGGCAATACTAAGTAGATCTTTCAAAAGAGGGAATGTAATTTCCATCAACATAATAAAATGTTTTAGATAATCTTTTCTCCTACAGCTTTAATGATAGGCAGGGCTGGTAGGACCACCTTTTAAAGTTCCCTGCTTTTCCCATTATAAGACACAGTTTTCAATTGCTTATGAATTTTTCCAGATTTTAACTGTTTTGTTTAAAAATTTCCAGGCAAGGTGACAAGTTTTTCAGGCTAAATTAGTTTTGAAAACTTCAACCAAAACTATCCATCTACTACTGCGAATAAGAAAAATAAATCTTGAAACTTTTATTTGCACTGCTGTGTAGTCCCTCTATGCTTGGAGCAGAGATTTGAAATTTGGTGGGCAGTTGGGGGGGGGGGAGAGGTGGAGTAGTGGGAAGTCACCTTTGTTAGGCTTGTACCTTTTTTACATTCCCTAAAAAAATCTGCCCAAATTCATCCAAATTCTGTATTGACTTGGGGGGGGAGCAGAGTTCACACCTGTTCAGGTGAGACTTGCTACAATCGCTGAAGATTTTATCTGGCTGAGTATATTCCACCCTGTCACAATTCCTGATGCCACCCAGATGGTAGTTGCACCCTTCCTACAAAGAGACTGAATATGATGCAGTAAGAGTTATGGGGCCCCAACAGCATTTGTCCCATTGTGGCGGTTCCTAACTTCTCAGGATGGAAGCAGGCTTTGAAGCCAGTATCTCCTGTGCACTCAGTTACCTCTTCCTCTGCCCCCCTTTCACTCAGCACGGAGAAGAAAACCATCTAATATGAATGCAGAGGGGACAAAACATAGAGGGGGAGGAGGGAAAAAATCATATTGTGACAAAGAGTCTGTTAAAATTGTTGCTGGCAGGTGGGGAGAGAAATTATGACTGAGAGATGGATGGGAGAAATGGGTATCGTGTGTGAGAGATTGGGCCTAGAACAGCAAGCCTGGGAGAGAGTAGAACTGACTGGCAAGGAGAATGCGATGAGGATTTTAAGGAATCAAGACTAGTATGAAGAGCAAGGGATGAAAAAAAGATCAGACGGACAAGTAAGAGGATGGGTCAGAAGTAGGATGGGCCATATTTGGGGTCGGAAAGGAATTTTCCTCCAGGGTAGATTGGCTGAGGCCCTAGAGGTTTTTCACTTTCCTCCATAGCATGGGGCACGGATCACTTGCTGGAGGATTCTCTGCATCTTGGGGTCTTTAAATCATCATTTGAGGACTTCAATATCTGAGATATAGGTGAGAGGATTATTTCAGGAGCGGGTGGGTGAGATTCTGTGGCTTGCATTGTGCAGGGGGTCAGACTAGATGATCATAATGGTCCCTTCTGACCTTAAAGTCTATGAGTCTGAGTCAGATGCAAGAGAAATGGACAGAAGAGTCTGCACCCACTACAGCATACTTCCTACATAAGTGGACCTCAAGATTAATGATTAGTGATTAAAGGTCTAGAGAACATGAGTTATGAGGGAAGACTGAAAAAAATGGGCTTGTTTAGATTGGAAAGGAGAAGACTGAGAGGGGACATAACCATTTTCAAGTATTTAAAAGAGTGTCACAAGGACACTGAAAAGTAATAGGTGTAACGGCATTGCACAAGAAGGGGCAGTGTAGACGCTCCTCCTTGCGCAAGATCCTCTTCTGAAAAAAATGGTGGCTCATTAGGTATGCAAATGAGGCTCGGCGATATTCCATGCTTAGCCTCATTTGCATATTACTCACGCAAGAAGCTGTGAGTGTAAACATAGCCATAAAGTGCTAAAGTTGTCTGAAAAATCAAGGCCTCAGCTTCTCATATTGGACTCCCAAAATTAGTGGGTACTTTTGACTCTAATATTTCTATGCCTTAATTCCCCATCTGTAAAATGGGTGTAATAATATTGCCTAATAATGCAGATGTTTTGTGAAGCACACAGATGCGAGTGTAATGTACAAAAAGCCCAGGAGGTAATTTTGTCTTTAGATCAGGGTTTCAATAAAGTGAAGTAAACTGGGGATAGGGCCACACATTGAATAAAGGATAAAACAAAATGTTGGATTAAAATCTCCAGCTAATCACTGCCTAGCCTGTGCACTGAATGTGACAAGATCCTATGAGAGAGAATATATGAACATGCAAATAAAGTGTGTATTGTAATGTGTATACATAAGGGGGACAAATTAAGATTTCACAGGCAATCTTAATTCTGACATTTCCTTAATTCTGAGTGCTTGACTTTGCAACCAAAATATTGTTGTTGTTTTTAAGTGTGCGTGTGTGAGAGAGAGAAAGAGAGAGAGAGAGAATATATTTAGACAAGGAAGGGGCTTATGGCTGCTTCACCATTTTTACATTGTGACTTAAGGAAAGATTACTTGGTCCTCATTCTGACTGACTTATTTTCACAAACCAATTTGTGAATCACTTTATTTGTAAAACTGTACTTGTGAGAAAAGGATTAGGGACATGAAGTCCAGAAAATATATTTGTATCATGTCTTCTGTGGAAATACAACAGATGGATTGGCATTGGTTTAATACAGAAGAGGAACCTTTTAGGATTACATTAAGATGTGTGACAAAATATATAGTTTGGTGCATTGTTCAGCCTTTTTTAGTACATGAAATGGAGATTTTATGTGAGCTAATATAAACAAGAAAACTAGATTATTTAAATTGTAATAGCCTTTAGCAAATTCCCATAATAAAATTTACTTTCATGGAAGAGGAAGAAACATCTGATCAACACAACTTCCAGTGGGGAAAAGTCCTGTTGTGTTGCTCACCGTATTTTACTTGACCAGTGACATGGAAAAGTGTTAATAATAAAACATAAATCTACTGAACTGGATTTACTTTAAGATGTCTGCTTCCACATTCTTTTCTATAGACTGTAAAATCTGTCCATCCAAGTAAATACACCATGTCAAAATAATTCCTTACCTCAGTTTGGCTAAGTGTCATATGTGTATTTGTATGTGTTAAGAAATATTGAATTACTACAACAATAAATGAGAGAGTGGAATACAATTTAAAAAAAAATAGACTGGATGATCTCTATCTGCTAACTGATAACTGCACATTTTGAGAGCATGTACAACTGCAGATATTTCTACCTTCATTTATGTAGTGCAAGAACTAGGGTGGAAGCAATGAGATAAAAATCATTCTTTGTGAACAGTCCCAGAAGGAATGTCTCTACTTGGTCAAACAGTAGTGGCTTTGCTTCTGGCACCAACTGAAGGATGTGTCGTATATGTGTCATCTTACAATAACCTCGGCTGTTCTTTTATGCTTCCCCATTATTTGATCTCTTCTGTGCATGCTTCAGTTAACACGGACAGCGTGCATTTTGTAGTGTACTCTCTACATGTTTGAAGGAACATGTGAACCAACTCAAAACAGCAGCTACGCTGCAAGTGAACACTGGGCCAGTAAGATGGGTCTGGCAGCTGTGTCAATCTACACACAATACTGTACAGCATGTATGTAGTAATTTAGTATTTATGGCTTTGTGTGGCAACAAGTTTGTTCTTGCTGAGAATTTCCTGCTCTTCACAGCACGATTACTGTTGTATAATAAACTTTGCCAGAAATTCTTCCGTGGTTAAGTATTGGGCAAGTACCCATCCCTTCTGACAGTCCTCTTTCTGCTAGATAGAACATCAATACTCTGAATCAAAGATCCCAAAAGTCCTGTTGGGTTCAAGAAAGTGGGTACGTGCATGCCTGCCTATGGCTAAAGACATAGTTGGAGGATAAGGGACATGAGCTCAAAAGAGCTCCAAATCAGGGTCTGATATTGGGCTCAGGT